TTTTTTTTTGTTTTCTCTAAGTGTGTCGTTCCTAGGGAAGCGGAGCCTGGCCTTCGCGCAGCGACCGGGCCTTCCCTTGGCCGACCCCCCTAGGGCTGCGGCGCATATACTGGAGTGCCCGCGGGGGATAGTTGAGCGAGGTACTGGTGGTTTAACCACCTTGGACCATCACCCATCGCCATCTTGGCAGGGTGACCTGACCACACAGCGGTTGCAAGACCCGGGCTAAGTAGAGACCCCTACCCCTTGCTCAGCACCGGTTAAGAAGACGCCGTGTAAGTCCGATTGCGCGGGGACTTCCGGAGCCAGAAATGAACATGCTACTACAGGTCTTCATGAGGGTGCACAATGACTCCCATCTAGCATAGTTGTGTGGTGATGGTAGAGAGTTGGGAATCATCTGTTCCCTCGTGTGTCCCTGGAGGCCGTTCCGGCCCCGCAGTAAGGTGCAGTATCTCCTGACACCCCCGACATCCCGTACTAAGGAACTGCAATGCCAGCCTCAACCCTATGCTACGTACTAGGAGGATAGCCAACCCTGAGTCATCAGTTACGGACTGAATCTCTTATCCCTATGTTGTATTACTACAGTGTTGTATTGTGTTGATGGTAGAAAGAGTTGAGGATCCTCTGTTCCCTCGTATATCCCTAGAGCCCGTTCGGGCCCTGCAGTAAGGTGCAGTATCTCCTGACACTCCCGACGTCTCGTACAAAGGAACTGCTATGCCAGCCTCAACCCTAAATATATTCTTCAGGGTGAATAGATACAGTCCATGATTCATGACTTAGGGTGGCTCAGCCCTAATAGGAGCATAGTCGTATGAGCCGTGTTGCACAAGTAACTTCAAGCGCTAGGTATGGATTTTTTCTACAAGTCTCATAGGTGGACCTATTCATGTTCCTATCATTGTGTACATAGCTATTTGTTACTATTGGCCTTAGGTGTATTCAATGTGCACACTGTTGTTATTACTGCTTGTTCGATTGTTACTGTAATCGCTGTTGGTCGTGAGCTATTTTTTTTTAATGTGGGAGCCAGACTATTTACCCTATTCGATGTCTAAGGGAGCCCTCGACACAAGATCCCTACTAAGGCGCTTATCTTAGACAACACCGGTTATAGATCAGAAGTACGTACTAGGCCCCCAATCGTTCCTGTTACTTCAACTTATGGGCGGGTTGTACGTCAGTTTTGGATAAAGCACAAAAGGACTATCGGTTGCTCTTCCATAAATGGACTGAAATCCCCAGCGACATCCCACTCCCTCCGGTCCCTGAGTTCCCTGATCTTTTCCCCCCATCAAACAATATCTTGGTTGAGCTGAGCTGGTATGGCCAAGACACTGAGGAGCCCACCCACCACAATCTTCGTGGGACCTGTCAGGATGGAGATAGGGAATAGGAGGATTAGGTGTCTGCCCCAGCCGCCCCCTGGACGTAGAACCGGCCTCCCTACCCCCCCCTCACACCTGGCCTATCCACCTAAGATATGGTGGGGAGGTTAGGCGTCCATATCTACAGTACTTGTTGAAAAAAGGGGGAGGGACTAGAATGTAGATGTGTATCTGGCGCCGGATTCAAGGTGAAGAGGTTCCCTCCCCCCCTCCAATATCCTGCTAAGTCAATCCCCTGGATCCAAGAGTAATCAATGTTGGCAGGAATCCCAATTGTCAGATGTACTCCAATCTCAGTCTGTATAAGGGACGCTGGACCCGTTTTCCAGCAGGTGATGCTCCCCACCAATAGATGGAGCCTCTTCCCAAGTGCTAGTGGTGCCTGCTCTTATCAGCACCGCTAACACTGGTGGGAGTTCTTGTAAAAAAAAGAAAAAAAAAGAAGAAAAAAAAAAAAGTTTATCTCCTAGAGGACCTTGTCTCATGACTCTCCTACCTAACCCCTCCCATGTCAACTGTAGATCATGTCCTGAGCCCCTGCAAGCAATGGGATCCCTCATAACTTATCCCACCTCACGACCCTACCCACACCCTTAGCAGAGCCCTAAGGTTTTTGTAACCATGCCTGCAACCCACTACCTGATTGAATTCGAACACGCAACCTCAACCAACTGAACTACTGTGGAAACTAGTCTATTTGTGGGGAATACTGCACCAGGGCGCGAGGGGGGCGCAGTGCTACCGAGAGCGCTGCGCCCCGGCATCAACCATGGCGGAGTTCTA